GTTATATGGTTCTACATGTTATTGCCTGAAAGAATGTGAGAGGGGGGCGCTGTGAGGGGTGTGGGAGGAGAGAGAGCGAAGAAGAGCAGGCAGTTGTTGATGTTGTTGCGGAGTGTTGAATGTTGGGAGTTTTTCAAGTAGAGCTTGTTAGCGTGTGCTGTGGCTGAAACAACAGCATGGAAGCCTGTTAAGTGATTACAAATAAAAGGACTGATACCGCAAGAACGTCTGGCTGTTTGTGTAGGAACGGAGAGTATTACAATACTTTCAGCTAGCAAAACCATTCAGGTGTCAAAGTCTTCAGCATATTCAGGGCGATCTTTCAGCAATTCGCATCCAGTTCTCTAGTTGGAAGATGTATCGGGCTGCGGAAAGACTCAAACTCCTGATCAGTCATCTTGATCGATCACCCTCTGCCATAGTATCCTTCTTTTATGTGGTCGACTGTAGCATGGAGTTACCCCGAAATTGTGTTTCATATGTTTATCTACGGTATATCGTCTCGGTGGCGATATTAACTTAAAATAATTCAGAAGCTTAGTCTCGCTGTTTTTAGTTAGTTCCGTTGTCAACATGTTAGCGTGCTAGCGTTTATTTTTAGTAAGTTTATAAATTAAAATGTTTTCAGTTTCTTTTCTCTTTCACACTGCTCTCAGTTGCTTTATCATACAGCAACAATGCAACTTTTCACATGAGAGACTGCAAGCTAATTTTGTATGTGCAGACATGAACCGCAGTCATACTCAGAGGTCGATCAACACAATCCAACAATGCAGTAACATTATCTATAATTTACGCCAGTAAAAATGTTGATACCATCTTTGGGTTTTAGAGAAAACTGGAAGAAATTACACATCTCTTCAGCAACACATCTGTTCCTATAGCAAAATTGCCTCATTTCCTCCTTGACTAGTTTTCTTCAGAGATCTGCACAGACTTCTGCTCAAACCTTCACCTACACTCACCCCCAGAGACTGAGGTGAGGTCATAGTTTTGTCTCACCTGTCACCATAATTCCACTGCAGTCATTTGAGAGTCAGTTGCCTGAGGCTAAAGGTTGTTGGATACAGAATTATTAACACATATTGATTATCATTCACCTTTGACACCACTGCTGCTTTCAGTCACATCTAACACTGTCCAATTTCTCTGCTCTAAATATGTATTAGCATTTTTTAGTACATTTATTTGCTCCGGAGTTAGTTCATAGTTAGAAGTTGTTATTAAGGGCAAATCTCATATGTCATTTAATACATGAGTCATTGTCTGTTAATGATTTCCCTTAAACCAAAGAGGCTACTGCAGCTTTTCATTCCAAACAAACAAACTGATATGTGTATGGTCACTTTTTTGACAGATACACATTTGATACAGACCTGCTTACTCCAGAACAGCGACTCTTTTATGAAGAAAATGGCTTCATTCTCATCAAGAATCTGGTGTCTGCTGAGGACATTGAAAAATTCAGGTGACTGACAACTGTAAAGAAAATTATACTTTACACCCAGTGTATCAACATATAATACAAACATTACTAACTGTGGTACAGTTTGCTATGTTAATAGCCACTATAAACCTGTTATTGAGAACCATAAATCCTAGACTATAAGTGCATCTATGGATATTTATGTGGAAGTAAGCCATACTGAGGAGTTAAAGAAAATATAAACACGATCTGCTGTACATGTGAGTCTTCAGGAAGGAGTTTGAGCGGATCTGTCGACAGGAAGTGACGGTCCCAGGGCTGTTGGTTCTGAGGGATGTGGCAATTGCAAAGTCGGAGTTCATTCCCGATCAGAGCATGGTCTCCAAAATACAGGACTTCCAGGAAGATCATGAACTGTTCCGATACTGTACCTTACCACAGGTACAAAAACACACACAGTAGGTCACACCTGGCCCTTGTTTCACACGACTGTATTGGGTAAGGCAGCTGTCAATAAAGACGTGTACTAATAACCATGCATGCATATTAGTTTATGGATGTGCATAAATTAATATGTTGTACACAAAATTGTGTTGCCTAAACTCTTGCACAAGTTAAATCATATACGTGTATTTTGAAGAAAAAGGAGGAAAAAGCTTCAGCTCCAGAAATTACAAATATGAAATGAAAACTTACCTTTGTGGTTTCTTCAAGTACGGTAATACAAATTACTTGAACCATGACTTGACTGTCAAAATATGTCATGGGGTCACATAATGCATTAAGGAGATGTGCTGGGAAGTTTGATTCTTATGATTACCTGGGGTATATATGGGTTACTAGGCAATATGAATTGAACCTATTCAGTTTTTCAGTTCCCAGTACATGTACTTATATGGCCACTACAGGTCAGACAAGCTGTGTGCTGCCTGATTGGTATCACGTGAAAGTAAAGCAGTTTTTAATCCTCCCATTGGTATTGGTTTTATTTAGCTGATCGTTAACAACAGCATAGAATGTTTTTGGTTCCGTGTGTGTATGTTGGTTAGCAGGAATATGGATAAACAGTTGGCTTGATCATCAGCATACTTGGTACAGACATTGTTCAGGACCAATTCTATAAGTGATAAAATTTTGGCTGAAAAAGGTTAAAGGTCGGGGGGAAAAGATGATGTGGATCGGATTCAGATCAAGGAATTTAGGACACATTTTGTGTTGTTCTGGATCTCATTTTTCACTCACCCATTTGCATAAGTGAATGTCGTGCCTTGGCATGAGTGCTGTTGTTGGTGATTAGTGATTATTACAACCTTGTTTGGGATCTGTGGTGGAAATGGAGAGCTCTCCAGTCAAGCTAGCTAACTAATGGCTTGCTAACACCTGGACACTAATTTTCTCCTGCTGCCGGTTCTCGGGTAATAAAACAAACTTTATTTAAATATATCTAGCCTATATCTATCAAATTTAACATAAAGTATCATATCATATCCATCAAAGTACATCCTTCTTCTTCTTCTGTAATTTAAATCAAAGTACACTAACTGGGCATAACACTGTCCTCCACAGATATATATTATACAATAGTCTGTTTTAATATCCATTTATATTCTTGAGTATAATGCTGTGTTCTGCAAAAACTGAATAACTGCCCTTGCAATCACTTGGTGCTACTCATGTTGGCCAAGCAATGTTGTAACTGAAAAACAAGGAATCCCTAAATCTGATAATTTTTTGAATAATTTCTTTCTTTCTATTGCATACTTCCTAGAGAATATCAAAACATGCGGCACTGTCTCAGGACTACCATACCCACATAATCCATGTGGATGTTTCCCTACTCTATGCAAACATTTATTTTACCCACAGTGCCCCGGCCTTAGTCTAGTGAACCTAACTGCATCCCTGCAGTTTCCATAAGAATGAATGATTTTCCTAATAGTGGGTTGAAGACTAAAATAATGTCTCCCTCTGACTTCCTTTTCCCTTTGATTTTGCCACTCCCTCTCAATACCTTCTTTGATTTTGCTTCTGTATTCGACTTTTCCATAAGGGCATTTAATATCTACTGTACACCTTTCTTCCTTAAAGCTGACTTTGCAATACTTTTTGCAATGTCATTGCCCCTAACCCCTGTATGCCCAGGAATCCAGCATAATCAGACTTCACATCACAATTTTCCAACTTTAAACAAAGTTATTAAAATCTCAGTAATAATATCCGATAGACATCTAAGTATCCTTCCAATTAAAGACAGTAAAACTGCAGATGAGTCAGAGGAAATAAGAACTTTATCCGGTCTCATATCCTCTATCCACTTTAAAGCCCAAAGAATCACTAATAATTCAGTAGAAAAGACAGAGATACCATTATGATTCTGTCCTGCCTGTTTCCGTTCTTGTGCTTTTATTTTGACGTTACTTCCTTTTTCTGTTTCATCTCAGTTTCTGACTTTTTACTTTAATCAGCACTCACTGTTTTCACCCCGATATAAGCAGCTTTCCCCCCACCGGAAAGCTGCCAGATTGTTCTCTAGACTCCAGCTCTGTCTTTCCAGCATTTTCTTGTACCTGATACTTTTGTTCTGACCCCGGCTTGCATGTTTGACCACCATACTTTGCCTTATCCCCCCAGATTCTGATTGCCTGTTGTGTACCGACCCTTGGATATTCCTTTTCTGACCTCTCTATCATGGTTCCCTCGGCTATATGTGTTTGCCAGCACTGACCTTGGACTGTATTATCGACCCGATTGTGATTCTGGACTTTTGTACTATTGGTTTTGTTGTTGCAAGTAAAGAGACTATCCTTTACCTTTGCTTGTCTGGCATTATAATTGAGTTCACTACAGACACTATTTGGCAGCTTCACTCGCCAAACCTGACAGTACATTCTAGCCAATATGAACTCAGCCAGCAAGGAATACTCAGGGTTTTGCAGTGGCCCAGTATACAGGCAGCTGCGGGATGTTTTTCATGTTGCTCCTCAGATGCTGAGAGAGCTCCGATGCCACGATCGTTTCCATCCTCAGTTAAAAACACCTGTTCGCCCGCACCTCCGATCTACTAGAGTCACGAACTCACAGTGCTCCCACACCTCCATCAGAGTGGGGGCGTTTTTTTACGCACCCACAGCCCAGCCCTGCTTTGAGGAGACCCCCCTGACTCCAGCTGAGGTACGTGCAATCAGACAGGAACTGAAAGCCCAGATGGCAGATCCACTCTCCCTTCCTGCACTAAAGTTTTTTGCCTGGCCCAGTATCAACCAGCAACCTGTACCCAGTTCTGTTTCCCAGCGGGTTGGCCGGGCCACCGACCCTGCCCCTGTCCCAAGTCATGCATCCTCTGTGCAGCCAGGAGGTTTTTTCTGTCCCCTGGCCCGGCCATTATGTTTTGCTATGCCATTAAAGTGACATAGATAAAGATAGACTGGTCTGGTGTCATGGTGCGAGGACAATCATCTCAGCCTCAACACGGACAAGACAAAGGAGATGATAGTGGACATGAGGAAGGAGAGGAGAAGTCATCGGCCACTGTTCATCCGGGGGCTCGAAGTGGAGAGGGTGAGCAGCTTCAAATACCTGGGCGTCCACATCAGTGAGGACCTCACTTGGACACTTAACACCACACAGCTGGTCAAGAAGGCCCAATGGCAGCTGTACTTCCTGAGGAGGACTACTGCACATGCCTCTCCCATGTAGCATACATTCTCTTATTATATTCTTATATAATTTTGTTATATCTCTGACTATAAGCAGCAGCTTATATAAGCAGCTTTCCCTCCACCAGAAAGCTGCCAAATTGTTCTCTTGACTCCTGTGCAGACTTTCCAGCATTCTTGTTTTTTTGTGATTCTTGTTGTGACCTCGGATTGTTTAGACCACCAGTTCTGCCTTCCCCTCCTGCTTCAGACTGCTTTCTGTGTATGGATTATCGGACTTCCCTCTCTGACATCTTGTTGTGGATTCCTTGGCTGTGTAAGTTTGCTGGCTCTGACCCTGGAAGGTATTTTCAACCTGAGTGTATGTTTCATGTTCACGTTTTCTGTATTGTTTTGTTGTCCGTGCTCATGTTTAGTGGAAATGACTAATGTACTATATCTTCTGCACAGTGCATTATGCCTGTGACCTCTTGATATATTTTTGACAGTCAAGTCTTAGTTGTAAATTCGTATTCATACTGAAGAAACTACAAATGTGTTTTTGGTTAGTATTTGTAATTTCTTGAAGTTGTAAATATTTGAATTATGTTATTATTATTAATAATCATATTTTAATAGACAAAGTACACACTACATACTTTGCATATGTTTTGACTTAAGAATTTACAAAAACACAGTTTTGTGTACAACTTATTAATTTTTGTACAACCATAGACTAAAAACACATCAAAAACAGATTTGCTGAAAAGTAACTTAAGTTCAAAATAAATTAAACCTAAACACTGATCAATGAGAACTTGTACCTTTCTCTGTCAGATCCTGGAATATGTGGAGTGTTTTACTGGACCGAACATCATGGCCATGCACACTATGCTGATCAACAAACCTCCTGATGCAGGTAAAGGGAGAGGAAATATTAGAGCTGAACAGATTTGCCTTACTCTACTTACTCTAATCATTACTAGAATAAGAACAAGACAAAGAGAGCTCCTAAAATAAAAAAAATATACAAGAAAGAATTTTCATGCCAGATTCAGATGTTTTTAGATGTCTGTCGGCTCTTTCAGGCAAGAAGACATCTCGTCACCCGATGCATCAGGATCTGCATTACTTCCCTTTCCGACCAGCCGATCGGATTGTCTGCTCTTGGACTGCAATGGAGAAAATGAACAGGCAGAATGGCTGCCTGGTCGTTCTGCCAGGAACACACACCGGCACACTGCAGGAGCACGACTATCCTGAGTGGGAGGTACACAAACACACATACACAAAACATTGCAAAAAACATGACCACAACTGCTCTGTGTTACATACATACAGTATATACTGTCTTACAATAGCACTGTGTTTGACCTCAGGGTGGTGTAAACAAGTTGTACCATGGAGTGCGTAACTATGACTCGCAGCACTCCAGGTTGTACCTTGAGATGGAAAAGGGTGACACTGTCTTCTTCCATCCGCTCCTCATCCATGGCTCTGGCATGAATCTGACTGATGGCTTCCGCAAGGTACTATGCTACCCATAATGCACCTTGTGTTTCAGGACTTCCAAACTCAAGATATATACACTAGATGCCGCATAAGCCACTTCTGTCTATTGCAGCAACATGTCAACATAGATGCCATGTTCCCAGGAGTGAAAGTGCCTCCTAATGCAGGACAAGGGCAGGGGTTCTATCAACACTAAAATTATCATAGCTCACTGAGTTTACAGGCAACTTTCCAGTTGTTTGGTTTGGTACAAACCCCGGAGATGTATTTATGATACAAGATGTTTGGGTAAAAATGCAGATTTTCATATCAGAACACTTCATCATTTGCAGATTCTAACAAATTGTTTATATAATATTGAACTTAAACTTAATAATTATTAAAAAGGAAAGATCCTGCCACCCCTCTGCATTGTAAACTGGCTGCCTTAATACATAATTACAACAAACACTAAAGTTAACAAACTAAACACATAGAGTTGCAAGAAAGATTAATGGCACTGTCTACAATTTCTGCATAACTTGGTCATGAAATGTGATCTGAATTTCACCAAAGCTACATTATGTGATCTGAAGATGCTTTATTTATTGTCACTGTAACGCGTACAACGAAATTATGTTTTGAGCCGAGGGGCCCGGGCTGCTGCGTGCATACGTGCTGCCATCGGGCAACGGTGGGGGGCCTGATGGCTTAAGCAGCTCTCCTCATCCTCTCTTATTCCACACTGCCTCCCTCCCTTTACATACTTCAAATACCAGGCAGTGTTGTGTCAGTTAAAACATCTGTGGTCTGAGACTCAGGAAACTCATTTTTATGTGTCATTTTGACTTAAAGTCCTGTGTCTTAGTAAAAGTAAAACGCCAATCCACCTCTGACAAAATAAGTTATTAGTGTAAAGAACTTTATTTATTGCTGCTAATGTTTCAGACTGACATAAAGGATGTTGGACCCCCGTTCTTTTCACCACGTTAACTCTGAGAGACGAAGCAGTCCGAGTAACTTCAAAACAGTGCTGATTTATTCAATGATCACAGGTAAAATTAACATGACACGCTCAGGAGTCTTTGCACCTCCAACATGCACGCAGGCAGCTAGAAAATGAAAAGCCCTGAACCATAACAGGCCTATACATTATATCACTTTGGGCTAGCCCCATACTACTCAGGGACGCCAAACCATGACATCTCCGGTGCCAGCTTGCAGCTGACCATAGCAGTAGTCAAAGCATGAAGAAAATCAATGTGTGATTG